GTGTGATCAGAAGAAGAAAAATGCTGTATGCACATATTCGTATTTTCATCCCCCTCTCTCTCTCTCTCTCTCTCTCTCTCTCTCTCTCTCTATTCTCTCCCTGCCCTTTTTCTTTTAAAGCACAGTGAATTTTCTCCGATTCCTGTCTGTTTATATATATTTATTCTCCATGTTATAGTATGGAAAAGTTGCTATATTAGTCCTGAAACTATTGCTTCAGTAGCAAGTTAATCCTTAAGTTTAAATTTTGAAAGTAAGTTGATCCTTATAGTTGCATAGTCATTATCAATTAGATACGGGTTTTTTTTTAATTGTCGAGAGATTTACACTAGAAACGTGTTTCACTTGTTTAATTTTTTTAAAACGCCTCTCCAAGTAGATAAGCAAAACCTAGCATCATCAAGGTGAACGTGTGAGATCATGTGATGAATTACTAATAATAATTTAGACGATTTTGATTTTTTAAGACTTATTATGCAACTATACAAAAGTTTGGAGACTAATTTACTACTACAATAATAGGTTGTGGGCCAGTGTTGTAATTTTCTTTACTAATTAATATAATCTTTAGTATTAATCAGAATTATTTAATATTAAATGCATTAAAATGATCTTTAATATTAATCAGAATTATTTAATATTAAATGCCTGTTATTTTTCTCATATTTATGAGTAAAAAGCTTCAACAAACTCACTAAACTTTGCCTACGGTTATGTTATAGTCACTGAACTTTGTTTTTATCATGAATGGTCACTCAACTTACTAGAAATCCACTCAATCGATCACTATGCATACACCCGTTTCATACGCATCCCATGTGGCTAGACGGACTCCAACGTGGCAAGAGACAGCGTGATAATGTTGCCACGTGAACAGTCGTCTTCCTAAAAACAACGATTTCACCATAAAAATGAGAACACACCTTCAAAATCAATGAGCCCTAATCTCCCAAAATCAGATTCATTCCCTCCCGAACTTGGAATGAACCCTATAAATCAATTTGGGAAAATTGCTTTGCTTCAACTCTGCAAAATCAGCAGAGGAAATTAGTGACTGAAGTTTCTGAAACTCAACTCAAGATTCAAGCACCGAAGAGGGTAATTTCTGTTTGAATT